ATTCAGCTAGTGGAAAAGGTGCCTATTAATTGAATCAAAGCAAAAATATGGGAATGTGGAGACTGTCTTACCCCTCTAGGGTTAGGCTAGTATATATATTTATATCACCTATGGAATGTGTACATGTGTGTATACACATGTGAAGTACATTGGACTAGTTCTTAGATTAATTTTTTACTTTACTAAACCTATTCAAGTGATAAGGGAGAACCCCACAAAAACTTGTGCTTGAACGGATGAAACATTAATGATGGCAAGACTTTGGTAAAGATGCCAGCAAGTTGTGATTAAGAACAAACATGAAAAATCTGAAGAAAAAGTTTTCAGGCAAGATCTCGAACAAAATGATAAAAAGTCTCGATGTGTTTTTTCCGACCATGAAAAATAGGATTAGCAGCAAGTTGGTTGCTTCCAAACTATTTGAGTATATAGAACATCATGATAAGTTTATTGGAAGGCGAGTTTCACACAAAATGTAAGAAATCTAAAGTATGTCCTGAGAAGTTAAATAAGATGTCATATATTTTGCTTCAGTAATAGATTGGGTAACAAAAGTTTGCTTCTTACTGCTTGAAGAAATAGGATTAGAATTCAGGAAAATACAATAACCTATCGTAAAACGTCTAGTATCTAGATATTGAGCCCAATTTGCATCAACATAACATACCAAGCTTGGAGATGAACAAAGAACAAAACGAATTTCACAATTGATGGTTGCTTTTAAATACAGTAAAATTTGTATGTTTATTGTTCCTTTTAGACCAAGTATTCATGATAAATACTTCCATATTTTAATTTGGACTTAATCCAAGCCATGTATATCTATAACCAAACAAGTTTAGGCTTATAGACATATATGATTGTAAGAGAGATAGGCTGGAAGAGATCATCCCCAAACTTTGTGACTATTGCACTTATTAAATGCACCATTTGAGTTTACATGAAGTCAAAAATTAAAAAAGAAGTTAAAAGAATGTCTTCTTTATATTAATTTTGAGAAAACTAAGAAACCTATTTTGTTGTCTAGCTTATTGATTAAACTTGACCTTGATTTTCTTTAAGCTAGCAACAACTTTTTTCATGTCAATCCTCTCCTCTGGTAATTCTGCTGAACATTTCAATGCTAATTGAAAAATGGATAACACACAATCTTTTGCTGCTAAGCGTTCTCTTTCTCTGGTATTTAGCAAATTTGTGTCTACAAATAAAGGTCTACATCAAACAAGTTATCGTTTCAAATGTATAAGATTAGACTCCTCAAAGCACCCATAAGAGCTGAAGAGCGAACATTAATGCTGCCATTTACTGTGAAAATATTAGAAGGCTAGGTTATGCTCTTAAAGCTTATTTTAAATTCCTTTGAAGAGCAGCATGATTGAAGAAAAGAACAAGGCATGCCGGACTTTTCAACCATCCAGTGCATGCATCGATGCAATGTGTACTAAAAAAAGTAATGTCTTGGTGCCTTACTTCGTCCTATCAGTATCCCTCAACAACCACCGCCATGAAAATAAGAATATTTGCTATAAAATATGGTTTAACTAGTTATCTATAAAGAGGAAACAGTTATCTATTCAGATCGGTATGAATAGAGGTATGTGTAAGTATAAATCTTACCACTTTGATTAGAAAAATGAGGACTAGCAAGACCAAAATCAATAAGAGTTGACTCTAATTATATAACTTATAGCCGACGTAATGAAAATTTTTAATGTAAAAAAACCAATGGAGTCCCAATGATCTTGTAAAATTTTTGCGGTAGTAAATCATCTCAAATTTCCCTATGTGTTGGAAGCAAGAAGAAGGAAATGAAAATGCAGAGCCCAACAACAATACTTTCTAAAGGATTTCTACCCATACATTTATAACTTTCAATTTTACTGGGGTCCCATTGACTGGATTATGGAACAATGATAAACGATGATAAACCTTCAAGGTTGCTCCGCATTGATCATCTACACTTGATTGAATACCGCTTGGAAACTCTTTCAGGAAGTGGCTTATCAAGAACCAATAGCTAGTTAGAAAATGATAGTAAAGAGGCTTTATTTTTTTTTATTGAATTGGGGTCAATTAAAATCTTTATTCTAAAATAATATGATAGTTTAACCTCTTTTCCTTTTTACGAAATGCTTTTCTCTCTACAAAGGTATACGAAGAATTAAATGGTATCTCCAGTCACTAGCTTTCCATGATTCTTTGGCCTTTTTTATTTTTATATATAGCTTCAAAAACATGTATAGCTGCCTGATTTTCCATCATATTTTATTTCCTTTTTGGGTTTGGCACTAGGCGGCTAGACTTTGTGCATGCAGTCTCAAGTCTCTAGTTTCTAGTTTCTGAAAATTTGCATCCTGTCAACATTGCACAAACGACGAGGAAAGAAAGAAGAAAAAGAAAGAGTGGGGCTGGTGGGGGAGCAGGACATGATTGTCAAAGCCACATCTTATTATAAAATCACTAAAAAGGCCGAAACTTGATTGCACTGACGCCCACCAATGAGTTCTCTATTCTTAAGAAGGAACGATGCAATGCTGACAACAACCTAGAAAAAGAATCACCTAAGTAAACAAGGGAAATTTTGCAGAGCTACACCCTGTAATTTCTAGGAAGAATACCAACTCACGTACTACTTGTACCATAAAGCACCATGTTTTTTCTTCAAAACGGGGATTTACTGCCTCTTGATCATGATAATCAGTTAAAGATATTTAAATTTTTTAAGGTAAAATTCACTTATCTTTTTAATTTTTTATCATAATTATATACAAATCTATTAATTTTTAAGATAAAAATTCTGCTCCAAAAATATATTTTATCTGGACACATAAATTTTATCGTTATTATTTGTTAATATTTTTATTAGTTTGATGACGTGACAATATTTATCATAATTTTACCATTCATTTATTTTAAACCACTATAGAAAATATAATTTCTCTCTACCCATCTTGGTTTAATATATCTCATATACCTTATGATGTTCAACTTGTTATCATTATAAAGTCTAGAAGTTTATTTGAAGGTGGTTATGTTAAGGATGGCTATTGTAATCCCAATGATTATATGGATCAAAGGGTACTCTTTTTTTTTACTCATGATTTTTATCCCTTAGGGTTTTTCCATAAGACATTTTTAATGAGGCTCTTTAACCATATATAGGGAAGGTTTCTTAAGTTACTTTGATGTTAGATGTAATTCAATTTGATGAGGTAATGAAATTAAAAAAAAAATGTATCTCTCCTTCTTCACTAAATTTTCTCCGACATGGATGACAACAACGGCAAACAATAGCGATTGATGTTCTTTGAATGGATCCAACTATGAGAACACTGGATCTGGTCGAAGAATGCTAGATCTAACATTCCTACGACACCAATGAGTGTTGGAAGGGCTCCCTAGTGTCAAGGAACATCGAATTTGGCAATCCCCGGCTAGATCTAGCCATGGGAGTGCTAGATCCAACATTCTCGAGGTTGAATCTAGTTGGGGAATGCTAGATCCAACATTCCAGTAGTGTTGGCAAGCATTGGAAAGGCTCCCAATGTTGAGGAATGCGGATTTGGTGTTCCCCGACTAGATCCGACTATGAGAGTGTCGAGCATTGGAGGGGCTCCTTGACCAAATCTGGTGTTCTTGCAACACTAGTGAGCCTTGGCAAGTGCAAGATCATGCTAGGGTGAGGAGCATTGTCGATCGACTTGAGAGAAAGAAAAGAGTGGAAAAAGAAGAAGAAAATTTTAAAAATTTCACATTTAGGTATTAACATTGTTTATAAGTTTGAGATAAAGTGTTCATTTTAAAAACTAATGGACTCGTGTGTAATTATTATCAAAGTTGAAAGGATCAATATATTTTGTTCCAAAAAGAAATTATTACACATCTTGTTGAAAAAAAAAAAAATTCACGTCATGTTAAAAAAATGTTGTAATCATCTCTTAAGGCTTCCGCAGACAATAGAAAACATCTTTCCAACAAAAGATTTTACCAAACCATAGATGGATGGAAACAACCAAAACAGAAAAACTGTTTTCTTTTTCACCATCTTGTTTTTTCCTTTTTTTCACTTTTTCTTTATTTAAATTTTGCACCGAATTTGAAAAAAATTAAAACCTTTTTTTTGTTTCAAGATGAATGAAAAATCTTGAAACATTCCTTTCCTTTCCTCTATATAAATTCCCTTTATTATCAAGATTTTTGAAAGGGAAGATGGGCAAACCGAAAACATCGTTTGGAATGGTTTAAAAGGCATGAGAGAGCTGGATGGGCAGTGTTCTAGATGGCATGAGAGAGAAATCGGAAGTATCTAATTTATCTTAAAGGGTTTTAAGGGTATTTTTATCAAATTATAGTAAAAGTTGGATAAAAACAATTAATTTTATGTTCAAGATTATTTTGAAATGAGCTTATGAGGTTGGCTATTTTTTACAATTTACTCTATTTCTAAATTTCATATTTCGGCTACCTTGTATGGTATTGCATCTGTATGCTATTTCTGGAGATGTTGACTGTGTAAGCAATGGAGTTACCTTGAGCTATTTTGAGTTTTTCTGGTGTCTGTATTTTTAGTAGCCCTGTGTGGCATTTTCCTTAGTTGCTATTCTTGAGGGAGCACATTACACTAGAAGGGGAAGTTTTTTTTGCTTTGCCATTATTTGAACTTTTCTGTCCTGCAGAGTCTCGAGCTGTTAATGTCTGTTATGGTGTTGTCTTGATGCTTCATTTAAATTTCTGGGGAATGATGTTGGTATTTGTAGTTATGTGTTGAACTGAGTATTTGTGCAAGGTGGTCAAATCCCTTTGTCTTTTCTCATGGTCTGGCTCGTTGCCAATGACCAATTTCATGCATCAATTCTTAAATACATAATACAATTTACTTTTGGCTGAGAAAAAAAAAATTTCTTTACTTGCTTTTGTGTAGTATGAAAATTTTTTTGCAAACTATTCAACATCTTCATTTTTGTCTTGTTTGTCTTAATTCAAGCCATGTATATATTTAACCAATCTACATAATGCTTACAGACATTAGACATATATATATATATATTTATATTTACATATATATCTTGAAGAGTAGCTTAGAGACATATATGACAATAAGAGAAGCATGCTGGGAGATATCATCCCCAAACTTTGTGACTACTGCACTTGTTCAATGCTTTATCTAAGTTTACATGGGGTGGAAAAAGACAAAAATACCTTCTTTCTATAAATTTCTTGGAAACTAGAAACCCTATTTGTGGTCTTTTATTAATTAAATTTTTTTAACTTCTTGTAAGAACGTGACTTTGATTTTCTTCAATCTAGCAACAACTTCTTTCATATCAATCCTCTTCTCTGGTACCTCCGTTGAACATTTTAGCGCCAATTGCAAAATGGATAACACACACTCATTCGCTGCTAAGCTTTCACTCTTTCCGTTATTCAGCAAATTAGTGTCTACAACATGAACTACTGCGTATGGTAATGACTCTTCCACCCAACACTTCAAGCTTGTCTTTTCCATAAACATTTCGTCTGTGGGCTTCTTTCTTGTGAAGGTTTCCATAAGAAGAATACCAAAACTATACACATCACCTTCTGTAGAAATAATCCCTTCTGACCCATATTCTGTATTAAAAATTAATTTAAATTATCCATTGTTTTGCAAGATAATGTAAAAAATACTTAAAATTTAGTGATGAATCTAAAGGCAGCATATACACATGCATGTTCATGTAAACATATAAGAGGAGAAATATGTATCAGCTAAGATTGAGAATTAAAATAAAACCATCACCTGGTGACATATATCCGATAGTTCCTAGCGTCATGGTTTGAATTAAATCCTCTTCTCCTAAGAGTTTTGCAATGCCAAAATCACCCAAATGCGCAATCATATCTGTATCTAGGAGGACATTGTTAGGCTTTAGATCGCAATGAACTACGGGAGGGGTATGACCATGATGAAGATATTCCAATGCCAATGCGATGTCTATCATTACATTCAACCTTTGCGAAACATCCAGAAAAAAGTTGTGAGAATATAACCACCTCTCCAAGCTTCCATTAGGCATGAACTCAAGTACCAAGGCTTTAAAATCAATGTTGGAGCAACTACTGATGATTTTGACCAAATTTCGATGATGAATACTGCGAAGGACCTCACACTCAACATCAAAACTTTTAAGGGCTCTATCTACATTTACATTGAAGACTTTTACTGCAATGCTCGTACCATTTGAGAGAGTCCCTTGGTATACTGACCCAAAACTCCCTACCCCAAGTAAATTGCTTTCAGAAAATCCATCTGTAGCTTGATCCAGCTCATGATAAGAAATTCTTCTCCATTCGGCTAATACTAGCAAATTTTCTTCAGTTGGCACTTCAGCTTTCCGATTTCGACTTCGTAAAAAAATTATAACCATGGCCAATATCAATATTGTTGAGCCAATTGCTGGTAGAATATATTTTAAAAGTTCAGTACCCATCTTGGACCTTCTAGAGGGATTAGTTTTGCAAGGTGGGACTTGCAATCGAGGTGAACCACACAAGGCATTATTCCCCATAAATGATTGAATTGAGTAGTTGCCAAATGATCCTCCATTAGGAATTTCCCCTTCTAGTCTATTGAAAGAGACATTGAAATATTTGAGATAGGAAAGTTGCTCCAAGGACTTGGGGATCGTTCCTGAGAGATTATTTCTTGACAAATCCAAGAATTCCAAACTTATTAACTCACTTACAGACTCAGGAATAGAACCCTGTAAGACATTACCAGATAAGGAGAGATGAGTTAAGTCTTTGAGATCACCAATGTTGCTTGGGATAGAACCTGAGAACTGATTATCTGACAAATTTAAATTGGTCACGGTCTTCAACTTTCCAATATCTGGGAGAGAGCCGCTTAGAGAATTTGAAGACAATTCCAGGAACAAGATATCATCAAGTCTTGTCAAGGTTGATGGTATTGAGGTAAAATTATTGGAGCCTAAGAAAAGTTCTCTTAGAGAAACGACATCACCTAAGCATGATGGAATCGGTCCAGATAGTTTGTTACCTGTGAGAGTCAAGTACGCCAACTTCTCCAGATGACATAACTCAAATGGAATGGATCCTTCAAGCCTATTGTTTCCAAGATTGACATCTTGCAAATCTCTCAATCTTCCGATTGTAGTAGGTATTTTTCCAGTCAAGTCATTGTGGTCAAGACCCAACCATAACAACCTGGTTAAGTTACCAATTTCTCTTGGGATGCTGCCCTTAACATTGCAAAGAGAAGCATAGAAAAGTGTTAGAGAAGCAGATAAATTTCCTACAGCAGCTGGAAGTTCGCCCCTGATCAAGGGATTACCATCAAATGTCAACTTGTTCAACTCTTTGCAATTTGTCAACGATGAAAGAAAGCTCAATTCTGGAGATGAAGGATTGCTACTTAAATTGTTATGACTTAGGTCGAGGAGTTTTAAATATCTTAGATTGCCAAGGGTGTCAGGAATGACTCCAGAAAAAGAATTATTCAGCAATTGGAGATTAATAAGCTGAGAGGCATTGGAGATAGAGATCGGGATTGGCCCACTCAGTTCATTTATAGCAAGGTGAAGCTCTTCCAGTTTAGGAAGTCCAAGGCCTGTGGTTGATGGGAGCTGGCCTGAGAAGCGATTGAAACCAAGGCCAATAGATGTTGCAGTTGAGATGTTAAAGATTGATGGAGGGATGAAACCAGTGAAGCTATTATTTTCCAAGATTAACACTTCCAGATTCTGTAGGTTGCCAATCTGAAATGGAAGTGTACCTGCCAATGCATAGATGAATTTTTTTCACAGCCTTATTTTCATTGTTTCACAGGTCCTACAAACTATAATTTTCATATGGAAAATGTCATTATAAAAAAATGGAGTTGTTATCACTTTTGTTTAGGTGACATTTTTTTTTTATAGTAAAATTTTAAAAAGTAGTTATTAAGAATATTTTTAGTAGCATATTTTAAAATTGTTTTGTTTTAAATCAAATTTATTGTAGTTTGTTTTGAGCAAAGAAGCTGAATAGTCCAATAAAACTTTCTGTCCTCCTATTAGGACCACCAAAATTTCTAAGGTTCTCATGTGAACTTAATATCTTACATCACTTAAAAGTGGGATATATATATATATATATATATATATGTATGTATGTATACTCATTAACTTAGACTTTTTAATTTAAATAGTGACCGACATGTATGCATGAGTTTTTTTGGTGTGCTCCTCATAGTCATTTGAATTTTTCCTTTTACAAGCTTTTAAACACATTTAAAATCAATGAAACCGAATATTCTTATTTGAATCCAAATTAATACAAATATATTTTAATTTATAATTTTTAATAATACTCTCCTCTATTATAATTAGTGTGTGAATTGAATGTAAACTAAAATTTAATCTATCAAAATGATTAATGAATTTACAGATACAATTAATATTTGAAATTTTAATATAGAAACATTTCTCTTAATAATAGATACATATATTTTCTAAATAAAGAATCTAGCTCAAAGTTTTTTTTTGAATAAAAAAATCTCGACCTAAAAGTTTCATATTCAAATATTGCTCTGAGGAAAGAATGGGATATACATGCTAACCTCTCACAGATTAGTCCATGAGTCAATAGAATTAATGATTTTGTACCTGACATGCGGTTAGACCGAAAATTAAGGAGCTTAAGAAGTGTTAAATTCCCAATACTTGAAGGAATGGGTCCTTCTAAGTTATTTTTTGAACAGTCAAGGATCTCCAACTTTAGAAGAGAACCAATCTGCCATGGGATTTGACCTGTAAAACATAATTAACCTCTTTAAATTACAAAGGAAAAATAGAAAATGGCAAAAAACTTGGGCTTGTAGCAAGCCCATTTCTATAGACGCCTAATTTCTATTTTTAGACAAAAAATTTAAAAGATTAACAATGTCAAGCAACTTTTTTTCCAAAAAAAAAAGTCCATTCGATGAATAAATCATGTAATTTCATCTTACAAAAAATAAGGACAAACAGAAGCCAATTCAAAAAAATAAATCAAAAGACATACTCTGTACAACATTGAGTTTCAAAATCATTTTTTGTAAAAAAAAAAAGTTTCAAATTATTTATTTTTTTATTTGAGAAGTAGATTTTACCATACATTCGATGATTTGATTTATTGATTAGTGTATTATTTTCTATTTAAAGAGTAAAATTTAAATCCCTAACATTGCTCTAATTTTTTATTTTACATGAATAAAAAAAAATAAAAATCCCAATCCAAACGGGGATAAACATGATTTTGTAATATTTAAATTTATGAAAATAAATACACTATAATATTTAATTTATTAATTAATATATGATTTCCTTATATAATGAGTATGGATTTAAATTTTTTTTAAAAAAAATAATTATGTTAAAAAACAATGGACAAAGAAACTTTAGAGAATCTATCAATGAATACGTACCTTTGAGATTGATCTCCCCAAGCAGCAATTTCCTAAGCATAGTCAAATTTCCAATTTCCAAAGGTAAACTTCCATCAAAATGATTATAAGATAAGGTCAATTCTATTAACTCTTTGCATTTGAATAAACTAGGTGGAATTTTCCCCGTAAGAAGGTTCCCAGCTAAATAAAGCCCTTGCAAATTAGGGAATCTATTACACAGATCTGGCGGGAGATTACCACTGAGAAGATTAACGGTGAGGTCAATGAATTGCAGCGAAGAAGTGTTGAGTGGAATGGAGGGTATCGAATCAGAGAGTTTGTTGTTACTTAGATCAAGTACCCGCAACGAAGATAAGTTGAAAATTGAGGGAGGTATGGAACCCGAAATCTGATTATTATCCAAGGTCAATATCTCTAATTTGGGTAAAAAGCACAGAGATGATGGGATTACACCTGTGAAGTTGTTATCATACAGATATAAGTATTGAAGTTGAGTAAAGGAGCCAAACCATGACGGAATTTCTCCACTGATGTTGTTGTTGTTGAAATTTATAAAGTTCAGCCGGTGCAAATTCGCCAATTGGTTGGGTAATGAGCCATGAAAACTATTGTTTCTCATGATCAGCCTGGAGAGGAAAGATAGATTTCCCAAGTGAGGTGGGATGGTGCCTACTAGACCCATATCAGAAAGATCTAGAACTGTGACCCTAAGATGCCGGGTTCCGCAAGTGACACCGATCCAATTGCATACCGATGTAGCAGTCGACCAATTGGTCTCCAAAAGATTATGAGGGTCAAACGTTACATGGGATTTCAATGCAAGAAGAGCCAATTGGTCTGTGGTGATATTGGGTGATTCTACAGACAAAGAAGTAACAAAGTTACGAAACAGAAGCACAACAACAAGAGGGAGGATAAAGCAAGCATTTCTCATGATGAGAGTATGTGGTTTGAGGAATGGGGAATGGAGTTCTCAAGGCAACTGCAATAGGTCAAACGTATCAAATATGTGGCATTTCCAAACTTCTTTCCATTCACACGCAGGTGCCCTTTTTCCTTTTTCTTTTCTTGTGTTACTTCTTTCTTTTCTATTTTTTTTTTCTTAATTGATTGACTAAAAGACAATCAAAATATCTATATAACTTTCAATGTTGCGTTTGTACACCGTTTGCTTAGAACCACGCAATAGACAACCTAAAAGTTACGCATAATTAATGACACCAACTACAGCAGAAAGAAAATGAAGAGATGGAATATATTTTCTTTTAATACGTGCGTGTCCACAACCTATTCTTCCACCTACCCATCACGTTATCAATGTTAATTCTGTAGAGCGACTTGCTGAATCCAAGCGCAACGAAAGGTTCAAGGCGGTAATGCACGCTGATTCCATCGAATGCTATTGTAGTTCCTTTAGATATTTTTTGGAATCTCTCAGTATATCTTTAATCTATTGCTATATTCATAGTAGTTACCATTTATATCGTACAATCAAACTCATTGAGCAAAATATTGGTGATTTATTCTCTATCTTCTGTCTTCTAAAACTTGTTATTGGACAGAAAGACATTTTGGAGTAAGCCTAGTAATCAATTTGGTTTTAAATTGAGTTAAAAAAATTTCATCTTAGCTTGTGAGTTATTTTTAAGAAAATGCGTTTTCACATTTGGAATTTAAATAATATAATCCAAGTGGGAGACATTTTGATTTTTTCAAAAAATAAAGTGTAGACTTAAATTTGTTTTACTTTTTTTTAATCAAATATGGGTTTAGCTTATTTGGTCTTGATAAAGAGACAATGTTATAAATCCTAATATGATCTAATAAAGTGGTGTAGACTCTAATATTAAATGTGAGCTTAAGAGTATAGACCTGTGTAAAAAATCTTAAATTTTATAATGGGTAGGACAAAGGATTAATTATATAAAAGTAAAGCCTAGGTCCTCTCTCTTTCTACACCAAAAATACTAAGATTCTTATCCATTCAAAAGTTAATAGATTAAAGAAGAGGAAGATTTTTGTGCATTGAATCTGAGCAATTAATTTAGTTAGTATTATTACCATTGTGAAATCATGTATCATGAATCAAATATGTTTTTATGTTCTAAATTCTATTATGGTATATTCTGAATTAATTAAATTAATTATACTTCAAATTTAACATTATACACAATGCACAAAACCCGATGAGGAATAAAGAAATTTAATGTAAGATATTAAATATGGAAGAAAACTACCTTGGTATTTCCATTTCACAATGATGTATTTATAGTACAAAGTTGATAATATAAGATAGTTATCAAAATTCTAATTGAAAAGATAGTTATCAAAATTCTAGTTTAGATAAAATATATCTTATTTATAAATTTAAATATATCATCCTTAATATCTATCTATGTCATCTTTTATACTTGTCTCTTGTTCTTAAATTGACCTGTACGTGCGTATTGATTGAAGATTGAGCTTTATCTACATGTTGAGTTAACTATTGCTATCTATAACTCCAATATGCCCTCGTAAGATAGTGGCACTATTAGTGACTCCGATAGTGGAAAGAAGGAACTAAAACCTTGCTTTGGTAGTGGTTTTGATAGTGGTTTAGTAAGTGCATATGCTAATTGATGTTCTATGGAAATATAGTTGATGTGAAGTTGCCCTTGTTTCACTTTTTCTTTGACAAAAAAAATTCTATTGCAAATGCTTAATCCTCGCATGAAAGATTGAGTTTTTGCAAGTGTGAGTGGCACTTATGTTATCACAGTGCATAATGGGGACAACTATGTAAGATTATCTGAAGTTCTTAAACGAGAGATTGAATCCATGTTGCTTTTGAAACAATAGGTGCAACAGCTCGATATTCAGCTTCTGTAGAGGACTTAGCTACGGTCTTTTGTTTCTTTGAACTTTAAGAGATTGAAGTGCTTCCAAGATATATGATAAAGGCAAAAATAAAGGTCCCATCTTTAGGATTTCCTACCCAACCAGAATCGGTGAAGACTTGCAAAGATGGAGTAGTTTCCTTTTTTAATGAATAAACCATAGAACAAGGTTCCTTTAAAGTATCTTAGTACTCTCTTCAATGCTAAATAATGCAATGTTGATTGTTTATGCATAAATTGAGAGAGTTTGTTAACAACAAAACAAATATCAAGTCTAGTAAGAACAAGATATTGGAGAGACCCAACAATTTTCTTGAATTCCTCATCGTTGGTTGCTTTAGAACTATCATTTAAACTGAGCGGAGCTATAGTCGAGATTGGTGTATTTGATTCTTTTGCACCAGACATACCAACTTTGATTAGAATATTTGAGATATATTTATGTTGAGATAGAAAAAGACCTTTTAGTGTAGGAAAAACTTCAATGCCAAAAAAGTAGCTTAGGAAACCAAGATCTTTGATTATAAATTGTGATAAATGACTTTGAACAAACCTAGAGAGAAATGTCTTATTATTTCCCATCAAAATCAAATCAGCAACATAGATAAGTAGATATGCAGTTATGTCATTACAGTGATAAATGAATAAGGATGCATCAACTACTGATTGAGTGAAGCTAGATGAAAACAGAAAACTGTTTAAGGCTTGGTACCATGCTCGAAGTGCCTATTTAAGGCCATAGATCACCTTTTTCAGCTTGTAGACAAAATTAGGCTTCGCCTTGTCATTCAAGATTGAGGATTGCTTCATGTATATCTCTTATGTTAGTGTGCCTTGTAGGAAGGCATTGTTTACATCTAATTGATGCAATGGCAAGCTATTAGAGACTGCCAAGCATAAAACCAACCTTATGGTGACAAGTTTGACTACAAGAATTAATGTTTCATTAAAATCGAGACCAAGCCTTTGGGTGAATCCTTTTGCCACTAATGTAGCTTTGTATCTGAAAATGGAATCATCGGGGTGCTTATTTGTTGAGAGGTGGAACTAATTCCCATGTGTCATTATTTGTAAGGACAGTATATTCATCAAGCATAGCTTGCTTCCAATGTGGATATCGGATAGCTTGTGTAACACAAGCTGGTTCAAAGGTTTCTAGAAGAGGATGATGGTGGCTAGATAAAAGGTGTTTATGTTTAAAAATATTGTTTCGTGATCGTATAACCATAAGATGTGTTCTTTGAGGTTGGGGTGGCAAAGGATGCTATAGATTTGGGTTAACAGTTGAATCAGGAAGAGAGGAAGAGGTAATTACATGGGTGGAAGAATTGTTACACACGTCAACCACTTGTAAAGATGAATAAGAAATAGGTCTAGAGGACAAAGTTGCATTTGAGCAAGTGTTGCATAGGTTGGATCAATTATAGGTGTGCCACATGCAGAATGACATTGTGAGTAAGAAATATTAGAAACTGGAGTGTTGGATGCATACTTGGTAGCAAATGAAAATTTGGGTTCATCAAACAAAACATGTCTTAAGTTGAACATTTTCTTAGATTAAGGATCAAGACAAAGGTAAGCATTTGATGCTTATAGTAACCAAGAAACACACAAGCTATATATTAGCTTTGAAGTTTATGTGTGTAATGAGGTTTAATCCATGGATAACATAAACAACTAAAAAATTTAAGTCTAGTATGATTAGGAGCCTAATTAAAAAGTAATTGATAAGGACAGTTGTTTCTAATGACAGAAGATGATAATCTATATAGTCAATAAATTACAATGGAAAAAACAAGAGACCAATATGGCAATGGCATGGATGATTGATGTAGTAAAGTAAGTCTAGTTTCAACAATACATTAATGTCTACATTATTGCATTGTGCTAAGGGGTATGCTAAATGAACTGAAGAAAGATTGTAACTTTGTAAATTCACCCCCACAATTAGAATATGATATAATAATAGAAGTTCAAATAACTTTCAACTAAAGGCTTAAATTTAGGAAACAGCGAAAAGACATCAAATTTAAATTTCATTAAAAGAACCAGATATATCTAGTATAGTGATCAACAAAAGAGACATAATATTAGTAACCTTTAGTAGGCTCCCAAACATCAATATATATGATATCTCAAGGGCCTTTACTGACTAAACTAGACTCATGAAAAAGGAGGTATGTGAATTTTATTACAGCAGCAAGCATCACAAGAAATTCAATATATGATATTGAATATGGAAGAAAACTGCCTTAATATTTTCATTTCACAATGATGTATTGATAGTACAAAGATGATAAGATAAGATAGTTATCAACATTCTAATTAATAAGACAATTATCAAAATTTTAGTTTAGATAAAACATATCTCATCCATAAATTTAAACATATCATCCTTAGTGATTATCTATGTCATTCCTTTATGCTTATCTCCTGTTTTCGGATTGACCTTTGATTGAGGATTGAGTTTTATTTGTATGTTGGGTTCACTATCGCTATCTGTAACTCTAATAAAAGATAGATTTCTCAAATGATGTGTGATGGTGCCTGCCTGGCCCATGCGAAAAAGATTTAGAGCTGAGGCTCCAAGGTGCCTTTGCTCGCAAGTGATACATAATCCACTTACAAACCGAGGAAGCAATAGGCCACAGGTTGCTAAAAGATTTTGAAGGTCAAAAGTTTCATGCGATTTGATAGTCAATTGGTCTGTGGTGATGCGCTGGACAAAGAAGTAACCAAAATATGAAATAGAAGCACACATATCCACTAAAAGAGAAACTATAAAAAAAGCTTGGATGAATCCGTAAAGAGATTGACAACTCTATAACTTGCTTGCGAACAATGGCTTTCGAGCTTCCATCCGCAAAGCAAATATTGTTGACCAGTAAAAACAAATTAGTATGGTTCCTGGCCCTACATGTGCCAATGTTTAAGCCCATTTAATTTCACTTTATTATTAAATTATAAAAAAAATATTTTTATATTATTATTTTAATAGTTTTAAATAAATTTTAAAATTAAAATTAAATAAAAAATAATTCTTATTGTAATGATATCTTGGATGGAGTTTAAACATTATAAATGTTGTACAAGACTTGAATTGAGTCAGGCCAAGCCTGCAAATGTGATTGAACATCTAAATATTACATTTGTGTATGTGTGTGAGATAGTAAGATAGAAAACCATGCCAAAAGAAATCATTCCTAAAATTAATTTGTGACTCTTGCACTTGTTAAAAGCTCCTTCTGATCTTTTTATATAGAGTCAAAAAATTAAAATAAAAAAAACATTATTTGCATTAATATTTGGAAACCTAGAAATCATATTCTTTTGTCCCCTATTGTTTAAATTCTTTTTTTAAAAAAGTAAAAGTTTTAGTAATTTCAAAGTTTACATGTTATAACAAGTTTTGAATCTTGTAGATAAAATATTTCTAATAGCATTAGAAGTCAAGCTATGGAGAGAAAAAGAGTAGTACAATTACAAAAAGACTTAATTACTCAAAACAAAAAAAAGTTTATCATGGGAAAATCGAGCCCCTAACAAACTAAGGGCCTATCCAATTCATCAAATAACCAACTAATCTTTTAACCTGATGTCAAAACATATATCAAAACAATATGAAAACAAAAAAAGAAACCCAATATCACTCCAAATTACAAAAAAGAAATTATAATCCAAACATACTGCCTTCACTTAAAGCGTATAGTAAACGCTCCATCCCAAAGAAAAAGCCTGTGGTTGGAGTCCCTTGGCCTGATCATCTCAATTGAGGAATCATTCCCCATCTCCAAATGCCCTTGTTGCATTCTTGCATCCATCATCTAGCAGGCAGCCTGGTTCTATTCCTTAAACTTCTCCATGCAAGACATCTTGACATGAACAAAACGCACAAAGCAGCTGTTTAAAAATGCAACTCGACTCCTCTATCCGCTGCTTCTAACTCCGTTATCTCTTGAATCACCTCCTCCTTGTTCAACTTTCTTTAAAAACATGACTTTGATTTTCTTCAACCTAGCAACAACTTCTTCCATATCAATCCTCTCCTCCGGTAACTCTGCCGAACATTCCAAGGCTAATTGCAAAATAGAGAATACACAATCCTTTGTTGCTAAGAGTTCTATTTCTCCAGTATTTAGCAAATCGTTGTCTACAACATGAACTACGGCAGATGGTAATGACTCCTTGACCCAATACTTCAAACTCATTTCTTCTATGAACATTTCATTTGTCGGCTTTTTTTTGGTGAAGGTTTCCATTAGAAGATTTCCAAAACTATACACATCCCCTTTTGTAGAAACAATTCCTTCTGAACCATATTCTATAGAGAAAATTAATTTAAATGATCAGTCATCCAAATATAAATTTGTTTTTTGCAAAATAATAAAACCTAAATGCTTAAAATTTAGTGAAGAATGTAAAGACCACTTATGTAAGCATCTATGAGTAGAAATATCATCTAAGATTGATAATAATAATATAAAACCATCACCTGGTGACATGTATCCAATAGTTGCTAACGTCATGGTTTGCTTCATTAAATCCTCTTCACCTAAGAGTTTTGCTATCCCAAAATCACCCAGATGGGCAGTCATACCTTTATCAAGCAGGACATTGTTAGGCTTCAAATCACAGTGAACCACGGCTGGGGTATGACCATGATGGAGATACTCCAATGCGGATGCGATGTCTATCATTATATTCAACCTTTGTGAAATATCCAGAAAAAGGTTGTGAGAATAGAGCCACTTCTCCAAGTTTCCATTAGGCATGAACTCAAGTACCAAGGCTTTAAAATCAATATTAGAGCAACTACTGATGATTTTGACCAAATTTCGATGACGAATGTTGCGAAGGACCTCACACTCAACATCAAAGCTCTTAAGAGCCCTGTCTACATTTACATTGAAGACTTTTACTGCAATGCTCATCCCATTTGAAAGAGTTCCTAGGTATACTGATCCAAAACTCCCTTCCCCTAGTAATTTGCTTTCAGAAAATCGATCTGTAGCTTGATCGAGCTCGTGGTAAGAAATTCTTCTCCATTGAGTTGATGGTAGCATATTTTCTTGATCAGTTGTCACTTCAGCTTTCCTGTTTCGACTTCGCAAACAAATGATAACCACGGCCAATATTAATATTGCTGAGCCAACTGCTGGTAGAATATATTTTAAAAGCTCAGTACCCTTGGACCTTCGAGAGGGATCAGATTTGCATGGTTGGACTTCAAATCGAGGTGAACCACACAGGGCTTCATTTCCCATAAATGATTGACTCGAGTAGTTTGCAAATGATCCTCCATTAGGAATTTCTCCTTGTAGTCTATTGAAAGAGACATTCAAATATTTGAGATGTGAGAGTTGTTCCAAGGACTCGGGGATCGTTCCTGAGAGGCTATTTCTTGACAAATCTAAGAATTCCAAACCTATCAAATCACCGAAAGACTGAGGAATAGAACCTTGTAACATGTTACCAGATAAGGAGAGATGAGTTAGGTCTATGAGATCACCAATGCTGCTCGGGATAGAACCTGAAAACTGATTATCTGACAAATTCAAATTAGTCACGGACTTCCACTTTCCAATATCAATTGGGAGAGAGCCGCTTAGAGAATTGGAAGACAATTCTAGGAACAATAAACCATCAAGCCTTGTTAAGGTTGATGGGATGGAGGTAAAATTATTGGAGCCTAAGAAAAGATTTCTTAGAGAAACGACATCGCCTAAGCATGCTGGTATTGGTCCAGATAGTCTATTCCCTGTCAGAGTTAAATAAGTCAACCTCTGCAAATGGCATAACTCAGATGGAATGAATCCTTCTAGCTTATTGTTCCCAATATTAACATCTTGCAACTCTCTCAATCTTCCAAGTGTAGTAGGTATTGTTCCCGTCAAGTTATTGTGGTCAAGACCTAACCACAGCAACTTGCTTAAATTACCAATTTCACTTGGTAATGTGCCCTTGATGTTGCAATGAGAAACATAGAAAAGTGTTAGAGAAGATGATAAATTTCCGACAGAAATTGGAAGTTCACCATTAATCAATGGATTATCATCAAATATCAATACTCTCAGGTCTTTGCAATTGGTCAATGATGAGAGAAAGCTCAATTCTGGGGATGAAGGTTCGCTACTGAAATTGTTATGACCAAGATCGAGCTCCTGTAAGTATCTTAGATTGCCAAGGTTGTCAGGAAGAAATCCAGAAAATGAATTATTGGACAATTGAAGATAAATGAGCTGAGAGGCATTGGTAATAGAGTTCGGAATTGGCCCACTCAGCTCATTTAATCCAAGATAAAGACCTTGCAGTTTTGGAAGTCCAAGGCCCATGGTTGATGGAAGCTGGCCTGAGAAGCGATTCAATCCAAGCCAAATGGCCCTTGCAGTTGAGATGTTAAAGATTGAAGGAGGGATGTTACCAGTGAAACTGTTATTTCCCAAGAATAAAATTTCTAGGTTCTGTAGGTTACCAATCTTGAGTGGAAGTGTACCTGCCATATTCAATTTGTTCACAGCCGCCTTATATATTTTTCAATATAAAAAATTTCATAGAATATGTAATAAAAGCAAACAACCTGATTAACCCATTAAGGTTTCTATCCTTCTATTTGAGCCACTATGTTAAAATAATTTCGCTGTCATGAAAATTTTTTAATTAATTATTTGCCCTACTTTGATGTCTTGAGCTTACAACTAATGTAGTTGGACTTTTGTTTATTAATTTCATTTTAGTCAAAGCCTTTTATCTTTGATGAGGTGGCCTTCAATTATGAGTGGTCCTCACTTGGGGACAACTTGAGTATATGCATGTATGCATTGATGCATTGATGATTGTGTACGAAGTTATAAATATATAATAAATTAACTTAGAATAAAATAAGATAGAGAGGTATTGTACCTGACAAGCTGTTAGAGGAAAAATCAAGGTTTTTAAGAAGTGTCAAATTCCCAATACTTGATGGAATAGGCCCTGCAAAGTAGTTTTCCGAAAAGCTAAGCGTCTCTAAATTTATAAGAGAACCAATCTCCCATGCGATTTGACCTGCATAATACAATTAACATCTTGATTAAATTTAAAAAGGAATAAAAAATAACATCCATTAATTGAATTTATTATCTCAACTTAAGTGTATAATTAGATGAAAATGAGAGTTCAATGATTTGATTGAATCAGACAAATGTTCAATAGCTTAAAGCCGGGGACCATATTAAAAATTCATTCCATGTAACATTGGCTTCCAAAAAGCATTTTTCTAGTGAAAACAAGATTGCGAAAAATATTTTTGTAAGAAAATAAATATATTTATACTACTTTTAAAGCCAATTAGTGAGATAGTGTCATGAGTTAACTAGATACCAACTCAGTTAACGAGTTGACAAAAAAATTATTAAAAGCTCATTAAAAGTATAAAATTGAAAGGATGTATATCTTTTCATTTTCTCTTACAAAACAGAGAGTTCTTTTTATGAAACATGCATTTAAAAAATACCCTCTATTTATGAAGTAACTCCTTTTTTCCTAGACAACAAAAAAAAAATAGTAACCTCCTTTTTTAAAAATTGAACATCAAATTTTTTAATTATTATTTTTTTAATTATATTTTGTAGGTTTTTATAACTGCTGCTTCATAAACTTTTTTAACTGCATGGACAAACAGAAAATAGAAGTACAACCCAAATGTCAAGAAACATTATTATGTGGCGTATAATATTAAAAAGAAAAACTACACTAAGAATATATAGATGCTTACCTCTGAGATTGTTTGCACCGAGTTGCAATTTCCTAAGCATCGTCAAATTTCCGATTTCCGTAGGCAAACTCCCCTCAAAATGATTATTAGATAAGGATAACTCTGTTAACTCTTTGCACTTGAATAAACTTGGTGGAATTCTGCCCGAGAGCAGGTTCTCACTTAAATAAAGCCCATGCAGATTTGGAAGTTTATCAAACATATCTGACGGGAGACTACCAATGAGAGCATTAGTGGTGAAATCAATGACTTGTAGCGAAGAAATGTTGAGTGGAATGGAAGGTATCAAACCATCGAGTTCGTTGTTGCTAAGATCAAGTATTTGCAGTGAAGATAAGTTGAAGATTGAGGAAGGTATAGAACCTGAAAGCTGATTAGTATCCACATAGAATGTTTTTAAGGCAGAAAGATTTCCTATCTCGACAGGAATCTGCCCTTGCAGATTATTATTATCCAACCTCAAGATCTCTAGCTTCGGCAAATAGCACAAAGATGATGGGATTATACCTGTGAAGTTGTTACCATGAAGAAATAAGCTTTGAAGTTGAGCGAAGGAACCAAACCATGCCGGGATATCTCCACTCATGCTGTTGTTGCCGAAGTTTATAAAGTTCAACCGATGCAAATTAGCCAATTGGTGGGGTAAGGAACCATGAAAACTGTTGTTTCCAATGTTAAGCCTGGAGAGGAAAGATAGATTTCCCAAGTGAGGAGGGATGGTGCCTACCAGACTCATACCAAAAAGATTCAGAGCTGTGACCCTGAGCTGCTGAGATGCGCAAGTGACACCAAACCAGTTGCAAACCGAGGTTGCGCTAGACCAATTAGTTGCCAAAAGATTCTGAGGGTCAAAAGTTACATGAGATTTCAAAGCAAGAAGAGCCAATTGGTCTGTGGTGATGTTAAGTGATTCCATAGACACAAAAGTTACAAAATTATGATACAAAAGCACGACAATGAGAGGTAGTAAGAAGCGAGTATTTCCCATGAGGAATATGAAATGGAACTGGTGAGACAACTGAGCTTGGTCATGAACTCTTTAAGCACATGCGAAGTCAGCCGCCAAGATATCGTTTTCAATATGTCTACTGTATAGCCCAACAAATATGACTTTGACATCCCCATTTAGGTCTCCTTTTTTAGCTTAGCTTCAAAGACGCATCCTGCATAAATGGAAAGATATATGTGGATCTATAGACTGTTTCAGCTAGGGCATATCCAACTTGTTTTCGATCCACGTTTCTTTCTATTGCGACTTTTATTGCACTCGGATAAATGTGCATTGAATTAGTTGCATTTAAATACCGTGTGTATCCTTTATACACATCTATGCCTACGGTTCCGCACAACAAACAATACTTTATACATATTCAAACACCATATGCACGCTTTATATATAAATATTTATATCTACGGTTTCACACAATAAACCCATATTGGATAGTTGGATTCAAATGCCATGTGTCTTTTTTGTTGAATACAAGGTTGCTCTCTCTGTGATCTCCAAGATTTAATCCTTATACCACAATTTAATGAAATTTAATCTCTACACTTTCATTAAATATGTGATTGAAGACAATCATTAACAGTGTGAATTTATATTGGTAAAATTTGTTTACATGATATTATTTTAGCCACATGAACGTTATTGGCCTGTCTTCACTATGTTCTAAATACTTATGACTTTTTCTTTGTTGATTATAATTATAATAATTTATAACTAAAGCTAAAAACCTGATTAAAAAATATGTAATCAGTCGAAAAATTATTCTAAAATTTAATAGTCGTTCAGAATAAGTCGTCAATTGACCAAAAAGTAAGTTCACGTGTCATGTCTTGTGATAAAATGATTGTCTCGTCATTCAATTTAATAATTGGATATTCACATTATTATCAATTGTTTTTAATCTAATATTTGATAATAGTACAAAGATTAAATTCGTTGAAATTGTGATGAAAAGATTAAATTCTTAAAATTAAGATAATACAAAGATCAATCTTCAGCTTTGATCTACATTTTTTGAGATTTAAAAGAGGTGAAATTGACATCTTTGTAGCCCATTTCTTATATAGACCTTTATAGCACGAGACAAATGTCCTATAGCACTAATACTCTTTCTTTTTTTTTTGCCAAGGTTCTATAGCTATAATATTTTAACTTTTCAATTCCATTTTCTGTGGTCAAATGTGACGTTTTTCTAGCTTAACAAACAGAAACTACTACGACTTGGGGGTGGTTTTTGCCAACCTTTTCCATGTGAGTGTCTTTATACAGGCATCTGATCTTTTTGGTCAAAAGATGTAGAAGTGTCTCCTAGTGCTGCCGTTTGTTCTTTCATGAGGCTTCTTTGTTCTCGAAGTTTTGGATTCTGCTACCGGAAGTGTGTTTTTTGAGCTGGTGCCTGGATGCCCGTTGAGTAGGTGGAACCATTGAAGGCTTGTTTGGATGTCGTCATGCTGCTAATTTGATGTTTGGTTTTCAATTGGTATTTTTTGTGTTTTGGGTCTGCTGTTGCCCTTTGTGATGTCTTTCTAATTAGGATATGTGAAATGGAGTTCTTTGTTGTTAGTACAGAGGATCCATTCTATATGTGAAGTCTAGTCTTTTGTGTTTGTACGACCAAATGCATTTTGTGTAGCTTAATTATGTTGCTATTGTACATGAGCTCCTTAAACACCTTTCTTCATCAAATTGAATTTCATGTATAGAATTATCATATCTCCAAACTTAAGATTTTACTAGTCTTCGAGCAAAAGAAAAGAAAATTAATGAAAAACTTTTCAAGAGATGAAAATTCACCAAGTCATGCTTTCTCAATTTTTTCTTAAAAATTATTCCACAATTTTAACTTAAGGTAAAATACATATAATCTTCAAACACATGCATCAAATCAAATGAAAGCTCACTTTCAAATGGACTTCCTCTGTATGTGTGAATAATCTCTTACAAAGAATATTATGCAATTTGGATTGCTTTATGATAACTCTATTATATAGAGTTATTATTGGCATCTTTGGAACTTGAATTTTACTAAGTCTTCTAGTGTTTTTTTTTTATCCTTAAGTAGTTTCTAGTTTTTTTTTTAGAAATAATTTAACCTATGTGATGCTAAATTCCATTTATGCAAGTTTAGCTTAATTTCTTATCAAAACCCTTCAATTCAACCTCTGATTATTTAATCCCTTAATGTTGAAGGACATGCAAAGACTTGGAGCATGAATGCAAAGGAAGGTGCAAGTGGGCTTAAAAGTAATAAAATATGCTAAAGTGTTTAGGGCATAAATTGAGCTGTAGAAGTCCAATCGAGGTGAATCTTGAACCAATGGAAAGCCAATAGGACGAGCTATAACTTTGATGTTCATCACTTGGCCCAAATAAGAAGGAATCATGGCCAAAAATGAAGTTGAAAGTGAAGACCGTAGTAGCTCTGCACTAGGCAGTTTGAAGGAGAAAAACATGGAAACAGAAACTTCAACGCTGCAGCACCAAGTTTCCAGCGCTGCAACACATTCCAAGTCAGAGAGGTTTTCACTGCAGCAAATTTTCATTTTCATTTTCATAAATTCACTGTAGCGAAATTCCCTTCTCACTGTAGCAAGAACGACAGCAAGAACATGTCAAATAATGAATATTCTTGCATAGGTTTTTAGGTCAAGCTGAAAAAAGAGGGGGTATAAATAAAAAGTCTTGCACTGAGAAAGAGGAGGATTTTGGAGAGACCATTTTGGGCAAAAGAAGGCAAGAACAAAAAAAGAAAAAGAAGAGGAGTCAAGGGCTGGAGGATCCAAAAGCTGCAACAGAACATTTTCTCTTTCTAGATTTGACTCTCTCTCTCTTTAAATTTTTTTGTAGAATAATATTTTTATTTGCTGAAATGTATACTTTCCTTTTGAACATGTTGAGCTAAAGGTTTTAATCTAGGATTATGGTAGATGCTATTGTGTAGTTGGAATACTTTGAATTCTTTCTATACTTGCTTTTATAAGAATATCAATGTTTATTCAAATTTATGCTTATTGTCTTATTTGTTGCTTGATCACTAGCAAGTTGAGTATGAGGTTTTAGATGATGCCTGAGAAAGACAATCTAAAAGGATCTAAATTTGAGTACTGTATGTTCATCTCATATTAAGAAATTAAGTGGGTGATTGTTTAATAGGATAGACATATACCTATTAATCATACATAGTCACTATAGGTCCTAAACTTAGTGAACTTAGATTTGCTTAATGTTCTATAGACATATAGATAGTTAATGAAGCTATGCAATTGTGTGATAACTCGATGGAGTACTATGCATGCTCAGGGAACCTAGACTAACATTGATTCTCATAAAAAAGTAGGTAATGGATTGATCTTGTATCCTTACAAAGCAATAGCTGAAACCATAGTCCCAGGCCTTAATTATATTGTTTTCTCATTACACATTTAACTTGCCATCCTTAGGTTAAAGTAGACTTTTAGAGTAAATTTATTTCAATTTTAACAACTTGTTCCTTTTGTTGCTTGGATAAAACTTAGCTTGTTACAATTTTAATAATTAGTAACAAATAGTAAATCAACTCCTCGAGAGATCGACAACTTTATTTATCATTATATTACTTGTTGCAACCATGTGCAATTGCGTGTAATTTTTGCTTATATTTAGCATTTAAATTTTGAGTACAATCCATATCACACAATCAAAAGATTTATTTATAAAAAATCAACAACAGTTTATGGTAATTCTAAGCATAGATTAGTAATAAAATCCCATAAGTTTGTTTTTCATCGCTCTCTCTACTAATGTAGACTAACATTTGTTCTGGACCAATAGGTCTTTATTAAGCTTGTAATGTAAGGCTATGGTCAAGGTATGATAAAAGATATATTTAGGCTCAATTTCACCCTAAATACATAATCAATCTAAGACATAAATAAAGCTCATAAAAAAAATTTCTTCCTCACAATGCCCCCAAACTTAAAATAAACTTTTTTTTTGTACAACACACTTTATTTCTTTTCTTTTCTCTTTTTTTTTTCTCCCCCAAATTTGTTTATGACAATTATGAACAAGTGGTAGATTTCTAGCACCAATCACTCTTTTTCATCAATGCATCTTTCTCCCTTAATTTAACTCTAAGCTTAAGATACTTTTTAGAAAGATCAAAATACTTTAGGGTGAAAGGTTCAAAATTGGAAATATATAAAAAGGCTTAGGCTAACATAAATTTTTGTTTACAAAGAAACGGAAAGTTAGGCCTAAAAAGGGTTATTAGGGATAAAATTATGTAACAAAGTAAGCTGGAATAGGCTAAAATGGTTCAAAGATAGCATATATCATCTTTTATCCTAAGTGTTACCTGAGGTTTTGCTTCAAGAGAAAATCAAACAAATTCTAGAATTCTTGACTTCATTACACTTTTATTTAGATAAACTTTTCTAAATCATATGGCAATTCTAAGTAAAAAAATATAGTGCTCAAATTATTGAAAGTCACATTATACAATGAAGCTATCACAAGAATATCAACACAAACTTAAATCATACCCATATTCTTCCCAAATGCTAAAATCACAAGATAGTCAAAATATCATCCGAGGATATGAAAAATCATAAACAAAATGTCAAAACATCTCAATTTTGTTTAAGTTAATTTTTTTTTTTAAATATAGAAGCTGAAAATTAAAGCTAACAAAACATGCAAAACAAAAGATAAATTTAGAACAAATAAAATAAAGATAAGAAAATAAAAATAAATAAAGACACACAAATAGAAGTAAATAAATGCGCACAATAAAATCTAAAGACATCCCTCAACTTAAGACCAAACATTGTCCCCAATATTTAAGAAAAAAGAAATAAAAATAAAATAAAGAGAAAAAAATGAAAACTCCCCTATTAGTGAAGCCACAAAAAAGAGAATATCTAAACATCCTCCTCATCGTCATTATCATCAACTTCAGTACTAATGATGGGATCATTTGGCAAGAAAGGGAAACTAGCCATATACATGCCTACATG